ACATCTTCTTCTCCATAGTCTTCAAACCCATAATTCAACTATCATCTTTCTCATCCCCACCCCATTCTTTCTCAGTATCTGGATTCCTGTCTGGCTTGATTCGGAACCATTGGTATGAAGATGAACTACTCCCCCTCTCCATTCCTGAATCGCGTAAGGCACACTCCTCTCAAGTTAAGAATCCCATCTAATCCTAAGGTTCCAGTCAGTTGTGCATGTGTACGTTCGTTGGTAACCTCCTTAGACATCTTTCACTAAAGGAGCACAAACGAAAAATGCAGAAGCACACACACAGCGGGGACCAATTGATATTGTGCTCCCCAGCCTAGTACATCTAATATTGTATAATTTGTATGCTTCAGACCTTTAATTTCATAACCCTCAGGTATGACGCTTCCCACTACAATCGCTTCTTTTTAGCTTCCCTTTATTCTTCATTATCCTGTTCTAGGCTCTATCTCTTCCTGGTTTTGAACAGATGTCCTTGATCCAAGCGTATCCTTTTGGCCTTCTTCTCTGCATCTTCAAGCTTGCCCAAGCAGAACGCGAAATTCTTGATGGTCTTCCTTATTACAACCTACTTTTCATCAGGTTTCTTCTAAAGAGTATAACCACGGCTTCTCTGATCTTCTGGTCTTTGGTGCTCTCCTCACATGAGGCCAGTTTTCCCGCTGCACTTCAGTCAATTGTGAGTCCAGTAAGGGCAATGTGTTCAGCTTTCTCCTATCCACTGTTCTGCGAAGAGCTGATGTTCTTTTATCCATGTGCTGATTTTCCTTCGAGTCTCCCCGATGTACTTTTGTTTAAGAGCATTGCAGTTTAGCTGGAAGCTCAGCACTCCATTTTGTCGACTTTTTCCTGTTGTATGAACAAGTCAATGAAAAAGGTTACTCTTTCCTTCAGGATTGTATGAATGTTCCATTGCAACACTAGTGGTTACAGCTTAGGAGCCAGGGATATCAATCGTTTTTCAGCCTGGCTCCTTTGCTTTCCTTTTAAAATCTCCGTCCTGCCGTCTGCTCATCACGATCTGTATGTTATATTGCATTGCCTCTCCTAGACATTCATTTCCAAAAAATATCTGAGTTTACTCTTGCAGTTTAACTTCCCAAAACTCCTGAGTATTACAATCTTCAGTGAGACCTGAAGTTAGGCCTTATTCCTTAGCATAGGGTCTTCCCGTCGCTCCGACCAAGTTTAGAAAACAATGTCAAACAAACGTTACACCCCTATAGGAGACATCAACCAAACAAAAAGCGACGTCAACTTGGTCTTCATATCCTCGATTCAATGTATCCATCATGATTATAAGGTTTATCTAATTCGGCCTATGCGAGGTCTACTCTCCGCAAATATATTGTGGGGCTCGAAAAAAATACGAAAGGACAGAAGAAAAAAGCAATCCTGCCTTGGCCCACTTTGGTCTTAGAGAAGATTTGTCTAGATTACCTTTGTGAAGAAATAGCTTTCACCACTAAAAAGATAAAAGGACATATTTCAAGTATTATTAGATAAATTTAAAAAAATGAATAAGTCTTATAGTATGTAAGTGAAAGATGCACTTGGTTAAATTATCGAATTATAAATGCCATCAGGAACATTATACAAGAGCAGATGACACAAAGCTGAACCTGTGGCTCACTCGTTCTAAGAACTCTTCTCTGGTGTCTCGAGCGCTGACGCCTGGTTGTGTTCACATGATCCTGTATCGTTTAGCCGGATGCGCGACCTTTCGTAACTAGGAACACATAAGCAGGTTGGTTTCTCATTTTCATTGGAACATATACAGTCACTTTGCAAGTCCCCTTGAAGGGTTCCGATGTCTTGACTACGGAGAACTGGGTCGCGAGCTTGTAGGCAAGGTGAACAGAGCCCTGAGGAGCCATCTAACTCAGAGCCAGGGGCTGGGAGCTGGCTAACTTTATGCAAGGGGAATGGCGTTAGATCATGATGGTCATTACTCGAGTCACAAATTAGTTTCGGCCGTAGAGCATAAGGAGTCGCAGTCCAGTGGCTTGGGGCTTGAGCCACACAACTCTGACGAAAAAGGGTGGGACAGTGAAATATTGGCAAATTTAATAAATTGTTCTGATAAAAGGATCGCACACATAAGGATGTGTTAATGGAGATTCCTTAGTAAGTAAATTCTGATAGTATTTCGGCTATATGGTGGGGGGCATTGAAAATATTCGTCTCTTAATAATTCCATTCAGTAGTCGGGCCCAAAAAGGGGCATTTAATTTAAGTTTATTGTGAATGAAATGAATTTACGTGAAATTGAGAATAATTGTATAGTCTACTTTACTCGATACCTCCACAAAGATTAATTTTCAATAATAAAATAGAGCTAAAGCAAGATTGATCAGCAAATAACAAAAAGCACGGAATACAAGCTCTTCACAATCGTAGACAGCTAAATTACAACAAATTAATGATGACTATACAGAAGACATTATATATAATGACAAAATAGGAGCATAATAGAACGAAACATGAATATAATTATTTAGTTTTAAAGTAAAATCTCATAAAATAGTATCTTGAAATAAATAGTATGTCATACTCAAATAATTATTTATTAAATGAGTCAGTAAAGTAGTGTCACAATAACAAGTTATAGTACCGAAAAGGCACCATCTATAAGTTATATGAGAAACTCTGCTTATATATGAGCAATCTATAAGAGTTTGTTGTTCGCAGCCTTTTTATTCAAAAAACAATTGCCTTATCAATAAAATAATAGTGATTCTCTGTTTATATTTTTGCTTAAGCTATCATAAGTCAATAAAGTCAATAATTAAAAAATATTTGATCAATATTAAAATAGCAGATTGAGGATGTAGACAAATGGGAATTTTGCAGTTAAAATATAGTCAGCCTATCAACAGCCTGTAATTTAGTAATGTGGCAACAAATGAGTTTATGCTATTTCTCTTCTAGTACTATTTAAAATGATAGCAAGTCAGGCTATATGTGGTTGTATGAGATGTGCTCATCCTATTTCGGTTAATGCAATAAAGGACTGATGGTTGAATTTTCCCACAATGATATGAGTCGACCTTATGTTTCCAATGAATTTCGCATAGCCTTGCTTTTCAAAGGTTGATCTGATTGACATAATCCTAAGCAATCATATTTGAAGCAATAAGATGTGGGCGAGGTCAGTAGTGCTAATTTTTGGGTAAAAACCAAGCTTAACTCAATCTCAATACGAGATCTCCCAATTTTATGACTAATAGCTTATCCATAAGGTCTTAAATCACCAAATATACATATGATTAGTATAGTCCTTAAGCTCACTTCAATTTCAAGTAACATGCAATAAAGAGATTTGATAGTCATCCCAGCAGATAACAGGGGATTACTGTTGACCAACTGTCGATTGGCTCTACTAGGACATTCTTACTGACGCTTTCAAAAGGCAATCTCTTCGATTCTAGTGAAAATGAGCTAAACTTTCGTACGTCACATGACGCTTAGCAAGAATTTATGATGCTCGCCCAAAGAGGTAACTTTGAAATGCAACGGAGACTATCACAGTGACTTAAATACTAGTAGTTCAGATGTCTTAGGCAGATAAAATCAATGAATTATTACTAAAAAATCTAGTAACTAATTTCATTGTAAAATTAAGGGAAAAATGAAAAATTCTCAATCCAAAAAAGCAATCAAACACCCAACACCTTAAGCAAATAAGTATATCTCATTACAATGGTTAAATCGCTGCAAAAACACGAATCGGAACCATATGACTAGGAATAAATCGGAGAGGACTAAGAAGAAATTTCAGATGCGTCACTTTTATTACGTGATAGGATTGATTGAACTTCTTCGCTTCATCTATGATTTTGTTGGCAGACGCTTTACCCAAAGACACATGAAGAGGCAAGCTTGCTGGTGCCTTGCCATCTTCTTCCTGATTTGACGCAAATACGGGAGAACTTAAGGAAAGATTATTGATTTTTGAGCTGTGCAAAAATAATGGAAACGATTAGGAGTATTAATAACGTAATCGAAAGTATAGCAAAACAAAAGAATAAAATGCAACCAAGGTTTAAATCTTGAAGTTATGTATTGATACAGTGTGAGCAAGTGAAAAAGGCCAGTAAAATGCCATTTTGAGTTATGTATAAGGAGATATTAATATATATGTGAACAAGATTTTTCATTCCATAATAAGGTTAACTAGAGTCACTCGATAAGTTTATCCAAATTAATATGAACAGTATAAAGTGGAGTTTATACTCAAACTATATTTCATTATTATTCTGAGCGGGTTAATATCCGAGGTATTAATGAAATGTATCAAGGACCATGATGACATATATGTGAATTCAATCAAAAATCGATAAAGTAGGAAATAAATTTCCCTAGACATAACTAAACGAAATAACATGTAGCTATGCAGAACAACCATGGACCCTAAGATTATGAAATTACCCTATAATCGTAGTGATAGAATAAGGAATGTAAAGAAACATGAAGCACAAATAATAGAACAGTTAAGGAGATATTTTGCTAGGAGAAACAACGCTCATAAGTAATTAAAAATCCTCAAATAATGCAGAACAAGAAACCGCTCGAGATCTTCAAATATTTTAAGATATAAAAGGTTTCGGGGAACATATTAATGTCAAAATTGTAAGTAAATAAAAACTAAAATGACATCAATCTTTTTGTCCCACCGTTAGGGGAAATTCGGTGTGACAAAAGTAAGCTTTCATCAATAAAATCAGGCAGTCTAGTTTAGAAAATATCAAGACCTTTTCTTACAAGGAACAAAACAGATCTCCCCAGGCTTACTGTCATAATTTTAAGATTAATAATATTTGACATTTCAACATAAAACTGCATGAAAGCACCTAGTTAAATATGCGCATTTCAACAAATACATGCATAAAATTAAAATTAATTT